TTCGTGTAGAATGCACGAACACAGATGGCTCAGTCAGGTGGTGAAGCAGGTGTCGAAAAGCTGAAATGGTCGGTAGCACAGGTCCACCGAATTGGTGGCAACCGTCGTCCAACAGCACACTTGATTTCTTCGGAATCGTCCAAAAGCCTGCGGAAGCGTTGAAAAACCTTAGAATAGATGCCGATACGTAGAGCAATAACTGCTGCTGCAAAGTTTGCTTTCTTTACTTGTGCAACAACATAACCAGCAAGGTACTTCAAGGATTCATGTTCTAAGTATTGAATATCAAGGAGGTCAGATGGATGAACAACAACATTTTGCTTTGATTCGATTTGTTGTCAACGGCCATGCCAGAAAGAGAAAGCAGTGTTCTTCAGTGTAGCTGACGTCCTTACTTGGCCTCAGAAACTGAACCATTGTAGTAGCTCGAAGCGAAAACTTGAATTCGAGTACATGAGGCACCGGCTTCTTAAACTAAGAAAAAATATTCTCTAGGGCATCTTGGCCGAACCTGCTCAGGAGCAGAAACTTGAAGTTGCACTTTTCAAGAAACTGTGCCTGCAGTTTCAACACTGATGTTGTCGCTAGGATAACGCCAGTCTGCATTGGTTTCCAGGTGGCTTTTTTATCCCCTATACATATATTTTTTTTAAAGTGCAATTGTTTCTTCAAGAAACTGAAGGATCCTTCAATACTCAATCATCAAAATGGCTCAAAGCCAGTTTTGTTGCTCTGGATGTAATGAGTCTCAACCATCGAAACATCCCTCAAGAACCATGCAGTTGTCAAGGTTGGTTCATCTAATGTTCCATTATCTACAAGCAAACGTACTGCAGCAGCAGTGTCGTTGTTGATAAGGCTGAATGCTGGCCCCACCTTCATTTTATCATAACGGTTGGGGTCAACTGAAAAAGGCTTCAGGGATGAGATAGCTTTAGCTCTGCATTGCTGTATATCTCGACAAGCTTCTTCATAGGCTCGATGGATATTTCATTTCCTGGCAGATTGTTTTTTTTTTCACTAGTTCTTCGGGTAAGTATTTCTTATGGCCCTTAGTTAAGTGGCTCCTCAGGTTCTTAAGGAGATGAGGAACGTCAGCCATGAGAAAACGTTGCCTAGATGCATCACATGGGCGGGGACATGAGGTTTTAGGCTTGCTGTGCTTGCCTACAATTATACCGAACAGTTTCCAGACGGCTTGGTTCCCCCCTCCCATTTCTATCACCGCAACATCTACTTTCAGGGAAATTGCCTCCCATGATTTTATGATGACAATGATTATATCCTTAACTGCTTTGGCATGAAATGATTTTCCAGTCAAATGGTAAGCAACTGTATGCTTCCAGCGGGTTGTTGTCCCACCAAGCATAAATACCAGCCCATGAGTTGCCAAACAATCGGGTGGCAGTGTTCCGTCTGCAAGAGGTATAGTTGGGGCTCCAAGCACTGTTGCCGAGGATGGGTTGTACACTAAGCCTGGTGCAAGCTGCATTTCATCTTGCATTAAAGTGACGTGCTGCTCCTCTTGTGACATGAGGCTAACCTATGGAGTGGAAAGGTGTAGTTAGGCGATGCAAACAGTGGCGCTATGGTAATAAGACAGGTCAAGGGTCATGGGCACCTGTCTGTGCACTTACCTTTAGTGCGAGAGACGCCATGATGTCTTCCAGCAAACCTGGTGTGAACTTGTACCCTTCCAAGTGACGATGTAGGGTGCGTTCGGTTGGCAGAGGTTGTCCAAGCTCCCTGACTGAGTCATGGCCACGTGCTCCACAAAAAAATCTCATTTTCAATGCCTTTATTACGGTATTCTTAGTCCATCGAGTCCCCTACATTGTTACCACCTTCACAGATTAAACTTGGTCTTCATTCAAGTATTTGTTAAATCCTGTGACAAGGCGCTTATTTGCAGTTAGTGCCTGCAAATGCTGCTTCTGAGCAAGTTGAAGCTGCTGTCGCGTCGCCTGAAGTTCAGTTTCAAGCTGGGCCACCCTCTTCTGTAGAGCTGCTTGTATAAAGTGGCCAGCAATAGAGCACCTAAGTTAGGCCGAAAGCAGTTGTCAATCCTGAACATGCAAGAGCGGGGCCTAGGTGGTGCTTCTTATTGAAGATGTCACGCTGATACAGAAAGCGCATGCATGGAACAGCCTGTTTGCTGTTCTCTGTATGTGTATTCTGTATAGTGCAGTATCTCCACTAGTTTTACATAGCATTGTTAACAATGCGTTGCTGACAGCAAATAAACTGCATGAGAGCAGGAAAGCTCAACACAAAAAAGATAAGTGCAGGAATATCTAACATTCCCGCATGTTTTTTCTCCCTTGTTCCCTTCATGCAGTTAATTTTCTTTCACTCTGCCCAAGTTGCACACAAATTGGTGCTGTTACGGTATAATGTATTGCTATTTACGAAACAAAGGGCCTCAACCTCCTAGTATTATGAAAACTTGCATTCAAAGAACGGTTGTGTCAGCTCTCGTAAGTATGTCGCTATGCGCAAATGAGGCATTGAATGATGGCACACAAAAAAATTTGAACAAAACTGTTTAACTCACCAGCCTGCCTACTTTCTGTCGGGAATGGAGCAGAGATCTGTGGCTCTAGTCGCATGTCAGGAACATCTGCCTGGAGCACAAGCAAGTTGACAACCAGCAATGTGGAGAGGCATTGGTATCTCACATGCGGAATACATATGCTTTGGGCCGTATCTGCCTGTTAGCTTTGATTAGCTGTAGATACATCTATGTGAGATGCGATGGTAAGTTTGAACCATATTTTGCAACATAAAATATTGTAAATTAGAAAATATAAAACATTTCTGCGCTGTTTGCACGGCATATCTCAACGGTATGTGAACAGATGAAGAGCATAAGCACGCAATTTACCAACTGATGAAAAGGTAGGAGCTAGCAGACGGGAGAGACTTACCATTCTCAGTGTCCACTGGCTTGGGTTCGACATCGACCTGTGTGTTTTGCTTGACTTTGGGGTCATCTGGGTAGGATACATGAACATAATTATAAATGATAACTCAAGGATTGTTTTCATTGCAATATTCAAATTTGACTTGAACGCTGTTGATAGCATTCACGATCATTTCTCCAAATGAACACCATGAACATACCAGTAATGTCCACTCTTGTTCTTTTAAGGGGTGGCTAGCGTGGCTTTGCAACTGGTCGATGCAAAAAGATGTTTGGCGTCGCAAATGGCCTTAGCTTCTTTTCAGCGGGATTCTTCAGAATAATCTGTTCAAACTGGTCTTCTGTAAAATGATCCTGTAGCAGAGTTGGAAACGACTTTCTGAACATGTTGTGAAGCGAAGTTAACAACGCCCGCAGAGATACAGAAGTCTAACAGTAGAACTCACTGCTGAAATTTATTACTTTTAGTCGCTATAACAAGCATAATAACTGCTGGGGTTTTACGTGCGAAAACCACGATTTGAATAAGAGGCATGCCGTAGTGGACTGCTCCGGTAACTTTGAGACTACCTGGGATTCTATTACGTGCACCTAATAACGCGCCGTACACGATCTCTAGCATTTCACC